GCGATTATTCTTATTGCAAAAATTTGTAACTGAGGTATTTATCTTTTGACATGTGCGAAAGAAGAGTTAATCAAGTCTGTATCTTCAGATATTTGAATAATATTTATATCACAGTATAAATTAACTAACTCCAATTGTGCATTTTTCTAGGGCGCTCGTTTTTAATCGAAGTGATAGTAATGTAAAATATGACTGCGAATCATTAAAATTTTAAACATTTCTTCAAATCCTTCTCATAATAATTAATGTTGTAACAATAAAACTGCTTTGGGGGCCGACAGTTTGAGACTACTGCTTTTGAGCACTGTGTCCTAAATCTCAAGCTTCAAATGTTCTGATTTGCAAGATCAAACAAACAAACGTTTTTAAATAAAACTGTGTTTGTACATCATAATATTATATGAAAAATTACTGTCATAGCTCTGGGTAATCAATAAATTGAGAAGTAGTTCAACTAAATTTTATCTGCAAAAAATTTTTGTAGGGTATTTTCTTCAATTCCTACTTAGATATAATACAAAACTTTTAGTTTTATATTTCATTATGAGAACAACTAACTGCGAAACAAAATTACTGTATTACTACCAGTGTAGTAAATTTAAATCAAAAAGGAAAGTATCATAAAGACATCCACTTGCTTGAAATAAGTGTTAAAATCATCATGGATCGCTAACACTATTTTTATTCATTTTGTTTCAAATGCTAAGCTGTTTATAGCATACCGGAACTTACGAATTCTTTCGTTCTCCTTTTCGCAATCAGTTCCTGACATCACTCATTACAATATCTTCCGTTTATCTCAAATGCTTTGTCAGCTCTAATGTTTAAAGCATGATCATCACTTGTGGATTAATTGTACCAGTACCCAAAAACTCTTTTCTTTTTCTTCGTTATTTTTTTTTTTATCTCGCTAGTTGCTAGTCTGAGGGATCACACTACACTTTGATGAAAGCATGAGTTCCCGTATCCCGCACTTTGATATCGGTAGGACAGAAGTCTATTTAATTGCGGTATTTCCTGCGCGAGACCCCATCCGACCTTTCACACACAATATATGACGAAAAACATCCGAACTTAATGAGGATGTCCTCGAGCGATCGGACAACTCAGACCGCAAGGACAAATCGACTGAGCAAGGGTTGAGAAACGAAATGCATAAAATGGGGTACTTCCTAAATACGTGCATTCGTGTCTGTCACGTGTACAATATCTTTCTGAATGCGAATCTATTATCCCATTGACTTTACTAGGTAATCCATAATTTAGACACGGAGCACGTGACTTGTTTCCAATACACTTTCTAATTTTAATTAAGCTTTTGTTGGAATTCGAAATCTTACCCTATTCTGCCGCTACATCTTTTTTTTTTTAAATTCTGATTTTGAAAACTAATAATAAAGTACATTAATATTTATATCGAAGACAAAAAGGAAATTTTCAGAAAAAAATATTTAATTCACCAGTTTTGTAACATTTCAGCTCCAACATTCTTTTTTCATTATATCATTCTTTAAAATCATTATAATATTCCTTTTCCATTTTATCTTCTGCATAATGCCGAAGACATTGCTTTTATTTAAAAGCATTGAGCGATGTATATCGTTTTTCGATATTTTATACTATGTTAAATGAGATAAATGCATATTATATGACATAAACGGATGAAGATTTGTACTGAGCTATACTCAGTTTTATTCAAAATCAAATTTTTGTCTATAATAGCTCTTTCCTCGAAGAAATTATTTTGCAGATTCGTGATTTTGGCATATTGCTTCGTGATATGTGTTAAGACTTATGAAATTACTCAGCCAGACTTATGCAATTACTTTCCAAAATGCACGAAGCTGAGCTTCGTGTATTTTGGAGAACACTGACATTTATGTGTATAAAAAATTAGAATATAGCTTTTTATAGCCTTTCCTCCATGTTGAAACACAGAAAACTGGTTAACTTTCAGTATTCAAATATGTTTATTATTATCATCAGTTTTAATATCATCTAACCAATAATTTAATTTCTGTTATAGTATTTGTTCTCTTATTTATCCAGTCATCCTACAAATAATGCGATTTTTTCTCCTTTCATTAGAGAAACTAGAATGCATTAATTGATTTTTACATTTAATCTGCAACTTCTTTTATCTCATTATCTGTATCACTGTTTCAATCTCTTTATCACATTTTCACTTTTTTGGCTACATAGTTCGGTGGTTTTATTTCTTTTTTTTTTCCGATAAATTCTTTATGATTCCACTGCAGACTGCTGAGGTGTCAAATCATCATTCCAATTAAAGGAAAGAACAAACTTTCTCTCCATCCTGTCCTGTTTCTCTCCTGTCCGAAAGAGGGCTCGACCATTTAGTGGCTAAATGGCTAAAGCCGTGGTACTCTGGTAATATCTTATAGGTTTTATTCCTAATAATGTCACAGGTTAACTGCATGAACTTTCCGTAATTTATTTCATGTATAACGCAAATATTTCCCAAATATTCTTAGAAAGTCCTCCATGAAGCAGTTCTTCCCCGTAGGCAGATAGCCCATCTATGCTTTGCCGCAATCAAATAATCCAATCTAATCCATTCGGGGAGGGAGAAGAAGAAAGATTCATTTTTGAATCAAGAAAGGCGAGCAGAGCACTTATTCTTTACCGGGAACACAAATATTCTATTATAATAATGTTTGAATTTCTAAATTTTCTGCAATTTTTAATTTCAATGTATATGTGGAATTGTTGAACTACTGTTATATTTGTCGAACTTCATTGAATCCTGTTTTTCTTCAATACTCAATTTCCAGTAGTAAAGTTTTGAAACCATTATTTGCTCTGAGGAACAATTGTTGTATTCACACTGTATATTTCACATGCGGATTTGGACAACACCACTACACATTTTCACCTTTCTAATATCGTAGGGCAAAATAAAATCGATCACATTAATTTTTAAAGCATTATTACAACACCATGTAAGGCAATAAGAAAATAATGACTTACATATGCATGAAATTGCTGATTTATGTTTTACCTATATCTATGAATTGCAAATAATTTTAATTAAAATATGCCGAATTAGCTTGATGTATATCCAGAATGGAAAATAACGTGTAAATACTTGTGAATGCAAAATGCAACACATAAAATGACTAAAATTGATGTATGACTATTAGAGATAGTATATAAAACAAATAATTAAGCAGCAGGGTAATAAAATTATGTCAATGCAGAAACCGTACAAATTTTGGGAGGAAAATAAAATTGTATAAGAATTGAAGCCCACATTTAGTCCCGTAGTTATTCTTTTGTGCTTTAATTATTTCAACATAACATTTTTAGAAGACAGAAAAGTATAAATATGACAGGAAACGATATGGTATTTAGCTACACTTTATTTACAACACTTCAGAACACAATAAAACCCTTTACATTTAATGAGGACATTGACAATCTCACTCAGTAACCACTGTATAAATTTAAGTTTCACAGAGCATAAATAAAAGTTTAAATAGCTTATTTTTTTAGTTATCACTGTGTTTCACATCAAAATTTGTTATTGATCATTATACGATATGAATAGCAAATATCACATTTTTCATAGCCTCCTCCGTCAAAATATTTTTAAATACAAGACACAGCGCAAATATAATATGTAAATATACATTGAATTAAATTTAATTATAATGTATAAACCTGTTAACAGAAACATTAAACACAGAGATAAAAGTGAAAATTTAACTTCATTTTAATCTAAAGTAATTCAGCTTACACAGGAAGAGGCTAACAGTTAGTAATGTTTAGTTATATACTTTAAAAGATATGTTTTACTGTCTTTCATGTATAAATTTTATTGATTTGTTTCTTAAGATTTTTTAGTTATAAATTCGTGAAGTTATCTGAAAATTTTTATGTTTACAAGTTCCTTTTAGTGGTATATTGTAACATAATATGATCTTAATATATGTCTAAAAAATTATTTGGTAACTTTAATGTAATTTAAATAATGTGTAGCCTTGTCATAATTACTTTATTTCGAGCATTGCCGGTTTTGTAGTTTTGCAATTGTTTCATTACTTTAGAATATTGCTGCTATATGCTCAAAAAATATTGTATTTGATTTTAGTCATTTTAGAAATTTCATTTTGTTGTAAAGTCTAGTAGAATTTTTGCCATACATAAGAAATACTTTATTACGAAATAAAACTTGTAGAAGTGAAAGTTTTTATTCATAAAATATGGTGTATATTAAAAATTTTTTAAGCGTTTTTAGTCATCTACGAGTAGATTCTTTCATTGCTAAATGCTTCATGTTTCCCTGCTTTATTTGTCGATACTTATTTTAAAGAAAATAATTTACGAAAATGGTCTATTACTGTGTATTCAGCTTTCTTTACTGAAACTTCATAATTCATTTTCTAAATGGGCGAACACATAAAGTATGTCATTTAAAAAGTAATTTAATTAATAAATTGAAAGTAATTTAACTGATGTAATAATGCTTCTGAGTTTATTTTGAAAAGCTTAATGGGTATAAGTTTGTATCTGAAGCGCATAATTAGCATTTACTTTACTTTTTGCCTTAAAGCCTTGAAATTAAATTTTATAAAATGTATATTAGATTTGTAGCATATTTAGCTAGTCATCTACGAGTCATCTACGAGTAGATTTTTTTTTTTTTTTTTTTTTTTTTTTTTTTTTTTTTTTTTTTTTTTTTTTTCTTTCATTGCTAAATGCTTCATGTTTCTCTGCTTTATTTGTCGATACTTATTTTAAAGAAAATAATTTACGAAAATGGTCTATTACTGTGTATTCAGCTTTCTTTACTGAAACTTCATAATTCACTTTCTAAATGGGCGAACACATAAAGTATGTCATTTAAAAAGTAATTTAATTAATAAATTGAAAGTAATTTAATTGATGTAATAATGCTTCTGAGTTTATTTTGAAAAGCTTAATGGGTATAAGTTTGTATCTGAAGCGCATAATTAGCATTTACTTTACTTTTTGCCTTAAAGCCTTGAAATTAAATTTTATAAAATGTATATTAGATTTGTAGCATATTTAGCTAGTCATCTACGAGTCATCTACGAGTAGATTCTTTCATTGCTAAATGCTTCATGTTTCCCTGCTTTATTTGTCGATACTTATTTTAAAGAAAATAATTTACGAAAATGGTCTATTACTGTGTATTCAGCTTTCTTTACTGAAACTTCATAATTCACTTTCTAAATGGGCGAACACATAAAGTATGTCATTTAAAAAGTAATTTAATTAATAAATTGAAAGTAATTTAATTGATGTAATAATGCTTCTGAGTTTATTTTGAAAAGCTTAATGGGTATAAGTTTGTATCTGAAGCGCATAATTAGCATTTACTTTACTTTTTGCCTTAAAGCCTTGAAATTAAATTTTATAAAATGTATATTAGATTTGTAGCATATTTAAAAAGCATTATCTCCGAGTTCATAAAATATTAAGCCATAAATGATATGTGACGTGTCATAAAAATTTCGCTTTGCGAGAGAAAATACTAAAAGTATCACAGCGTAATTGCCGGTTGATTCTCCAATAATTTATTCCAAGTCTTTTAAGTAAAAAGAAAATTCTAAATACTTTACCCTTTTTGAGAACGTTATCCAGTTTTTTAAAAACATTTATTGCATCCTCTAATCTATTTCATTAAATGATCTCTAATTTTATGAATAAAAAACAAAGGCTGGAATTTTACTAGACATTGTTGATCTTCCAAGTGAAGATATGAAATAGCAATAATTTTTATAAGCGTTTCAACAGTGGTCAGCAGTCAATAAATTCAACCATTATGCAGTTATTAATTCAACGGCATTCTATCTTACTAGCGAAATACAGTTTATCAGGAACTAGAAGCCTAATTTATAGCTTACAGTAAAGCCTGAAAAAAATTCAATCCATAATTTGCAAAGATAGCACTATTCGCATGCGGTGTTTCATGCACTTTATACATGCATATATAATGCCAAAAAATTCAGAAACCTTTTTTTTTCTGATAAATCTCCCGCATTATTTGTGAAAACAACTCATCCATTTCTTTCAGAGTCTTATGTTGTTAGTAAAGTATTAAAACAAAAACTAAAATAAAATATGTTTAAATACTAAAAAGCCACAAGTGAGTTTCATATATTCACATCTGGCAATTTTTGTGCTACAATCAGTTTTATCACAAAGCACCAACAATTCAGGAAGATCTGCTTAAAATGTGAAACAAACAAACGCCATTATATAAGGAAGTTGATTCATCATACGTTTAAGATCACAGTATTGTTTAAAACCAGTGATAAAGTTCTGCTGTCATTTTAATACATACATAGAATATGTGAAACGACTACAGTTTCATGGATATACCATAAATAAATTAGAAAATAGTTTAAAGAAACAGTGTATATGCATATGTCAGGTTACAAGCTCCACGCAAACCATTTTTTTTTTTTTTTGCATCTAAAATTTGATTTCCCATCTTCCGTTATAAATCCTACACCTTATGGAAAACATTTTATAGCACTAAATAACAGATAAATTGAAACAATGCTCTGCATTCTTAAATAAATAATGTAATGTATTCCTTAACATTGATGATATTCATGATCAATGTTCTAGAAATAACATGAAGCAATAATTTCTAGACAAAGTTAAAAATAACACAAAAGTTTTGTAGCACGATATAACCCTTGCATATTTCGTGCTATGCTATTTCTGATCCACAACAGGAAGCACCAAGTTGTTCAAAACTACTCTTACATTACTAGAAAAGGGAGAGCAAATGTACAGCTTTGAGTTTTGTTATATTTGTTTTGGCAGTATCAAATAGTATTTCCAGCAAGACATACACTAATTCTAATTCGCTAGTCATATCCTAATTAAATTAATTAAAGATCTTTGGTAGTTGCAGTTGCAGGAATTTTTTTTTTCATTTGAAATATATAATGAAAATTGTTCTTTTATATGGAAGTTTATAAAAGGCACTCTTTTAATACTAAAGGCTTGAGAAAGATACTCAGTTTCCTTTAGTTCAGGTTTAATAGAGACTGTGAGCTTCAGTTTGTTTCACTAATGATTTAATGAAAGCATATGACCTGACATCCATGATAATATCTTTTCTAGGATGATTTTACAAAGTGAATGCCTCAATGAGCATGTCACATAACTATCCTGAAAAGCGATCAACACTTTAATTAACCAATTTTCTACCGTCATTAATGGATTTTCTGCTAGATAATGAATCTGAAATTCTTAGTTTAATTATATAAAATATATAACTTGTACAGTTTTTGCTAATTAAGAGTTTTGAAAATATTGCTTTTGCTTGGTTAACAGACTTAAAACTTTACACATTAGAGCCAAATAATCTATTAGACAGCATTCAAACAAAACAGTATTAAATCATTTTTAAAATGATAAATGGAATACTTGTCCAGCATTATTCCATTTATCATTTCTTTTTTTATAATCTCTTTTATAGGTCTTATATAGTTTTAAGTATTTTGTACATATTGCTAGCGATTTAGACAGATCTCAGAAATCTTCATTGAATAAAAATTACGTTAAAATTAGTATAATGTAAACCACAAGCCATGTCACTGTTACAACAGCAAAAGGGTTTATAGTGTATATAGGAATACTTATAGTTTATATAGGAAATTTTGCAGTTCCACAGGTAGAATTTTGACACTTTTTATTTTTTAACTAACCCATTTTTAGAAACTTTCTTAATAATATGTTATTCAATACAATTCCATAATCAGCTGGAAGTATTTCCGTGGCTGTAAAAGTTAAGTGATTAACGCAATAATTTTTCATTAATAAATGCATTTGTTTGACACCTGATTTGTTGTAAATTTAATCAGAAGCATGCATCACAATCTAACAATGAGTTTGTAAAATGTATGATCTGATGCGGTTTCTGAAAATTTAATTTAAATAAAAACTTGCAGAAATTCGAAGCACAGTGTATCTAAAATATTTCAGCCCAGTGAACAGCACCATAGAGTAAAAATAAAAGGGCTGAAAGTGTTATGGGGCTTGTACCCTAACACTGTTAGAAAATTCAAAATCAAGCTTTTAAACATAACGTCGACAATAGATAAAGCATGAAAGAAATGGCACAGTACAAAAACATACGTATGACACTTCAACGTGATGTCATTATAAACATTCTTCAGATCATCGTTTATACAATAATAACACTTCTAAAAAACCGTGCTATGAATATTAAATTAATGACATTCAAAAATTTAATAAAACTTCTGTTTCACACTTTACTTCTCTAATCCAGATAAATGTTCAAAGCAACATCTTGATATAGTTTAAATTTCACAAACAGTAGAAGAACTAGTAAGTTTGTAATATGATAACATAATAGTTATTTAAATTAAATAAAAAATTTGCTTCAGAATTATTTTGTATTTTATATTTTTTAGAAAATAGAATTTTTAAGGAATAAGTAAAAATCTGATGCACCTTATAAATTCCTAACTGCAAAGACTACTGAATGAATTTTCTAATAAATGACTTTTGCTCTCCTTAAAGTTCAGCTGCTTCTCTAGAAATAAATTATTTAAACAACTAAATATCGACAATATAAACGCTTTTCAAATCTCATATGAATGTTAAAGTCAATTATCTTGTTGGTGCAAGAAAACAGACATATAATGAAAGTGTACTGACCGATATAAATATTTGCTAAATGTCTCAGACCTTTCATACATCTTCGAGTCACTGCTTATAACAGAGTTTATCTTAAATATAGGACAGCAGTGTTTCAATTACTGCATGCTCTAAATTTGTGCATAAAGTACACGCACGTAATGAATTAAATTAGGATTCATTGTAATACTTGTAAATGTATTTATCTTGCTTTCTTCTTTGGAAATAAAGTGAAGGATAAAGATGGAAAACAATGAAAGTACAAATCTTCTTTCACAATACCGTTCAAGCCGATACATTTTTATAGGAATTCTTCCAGACTTCAGCAAATGTAATTGACGAATGGAATCGGTAAAAGATGCTCAATGGTAGCGTGGCCCTTATGATGACAGTCCAAGCCATAAATCCGTAAAAGCCTAGCTGCACAGGACTAGCTTCTGCCTTCTGCATTTCAAATGTATAAATGATCCACAGAGTTAAGTTACCCATCATCAAGAAGGCGACAACTTGTCTACCTGGTTTTGTCTGATCGTGTTCTGGTAGGTAAGTCGTTCTGCAAGTTATTTCAGCTACGAACAATGACTGTAAAGTGACTTGAACAATTGTGAGGCAGCTAGTGACCATCACTAACAAGTTTGGAACGTAGTCCTTAGGCGAGAGAGTTCCAGCAATGATTCCAAACATAGCATATACGTACAAACCATACGCTGCAACAGTGAGCAGGATGTCTCGCAAATGATCTGTGCGATCAGCTTGGAACTTGAGTTGCTTGATACGGAAAAATCCTACGATGATAGTGAATATGGTCATCACCATAATTGCGCTGTGGGAAACATCTGAGAGAAATATAGCCAGCAAACTATAATGTTCATTTTCTATTAGAACAAAGAAAACAATGAGGCAAATTGTAGCAATGACCAAAATAAGGAGACCAAAAAACAATCCTTTACTTGAGCCAGCACAATTCATTTTAGGTAAGGTTTGCACACTGGATGCTCTTGACAAACCATCTTCATATTCTGCATTTCCATGAAAAACAGGATCTTTACCTATGTTCTTCCACATGACGTATAATACCGCAGCGCCAATCAAACTATATTCGACAATGAATGGGAAAAGAAAAGGCGACGAATCAGATACGATGGATCCCATAATGTCTTGCTTTTGACACGGATTGCTGTTGTTTTTAATATAATTTTCTGAAAGAAAAACAACAAAAATTAATAAATATTGAAAACAGAGGCTAGATATACAGTAATCCGCGACAGAAAGATCTTTTTAAATACAAATACTTTGAAGTTAAATTATTAATCAGTATTTACTGTCAGTATTTTTATTTTTGAAAAGAAATTTGAGTTCAAAGGTTAAAATTTATTAAAGTTTTAATTAACTTAGCTAATTATGTAAATTATATGTCATCATTTACTTGCAAATATTATTTAAAGCTGTGCAGATCAGTTTACATTATATTCTCAAAAAATAATATTATAGTCTGTAACATAATGAATACTATATCTATCAGCTTCATTTATTTCCTGTCTGCATTAATTATGTCTTTTGTTATAACATTCTCCCTCTTACGTCGTTTCTTAACTCTTTTGCATCGGTAAAGGCAAAAATCTGTTTCTCTGAAGCATCTGAAACGCCCGTATATACGAATTTTTGTAGGAATGGATTTTGTTTTCCAATGTCAAGCAGAATGCTACAGCATTAACAATAACCTACTTAAATGAAGGTATTCCTTCTCTCGTGGGATCTCTCTGCGGTTTCTCCCACTGTGTGCATTTCCCCCTTAGTACAAGATTGCCACTTTGAGCATTAATAAATAAATGCAAAACAATAGTGAGGAAAGGTGCATTCAAATAACACAGCTACTTTTAGTAGCTTCGAAATTATGATCTTCGTGTCATTTAACGACTCCCGAAACCAATCAGCCATGTCCTAGCGTGATGAGGCAAAGCACCAGGTAGAAAATGCACTCATGCGTTCGGGCGACCTGCCGATGTCTGAATGGTCGGGCATTTCTGGCGAATTCGATGGGAAAGAGTTAAATCTTTATTACCTTTCTTACACCGTTTGCTCCTCTCATAATAATTTTATACAGCTATCCATATGAAGAATTGAATTTTTCTTAATGTATATCTCTATTAGCACGCATTTTATATTAATGAACATTTAAATCCCCGAAATCTTGAAATACACGCGATGGCCGATATTACACTTCCCCACTTCAGGTTTTCTGGAAATGACAACACAAATCATGCCGCTTCAGGGTTAGGGTTTTTCTTTTCTGCAAATGTGTTGGAGTGAGAACGTCAGAAAGTTGTTGATAAAAAGATAGAGAGAGGGAGACGGAAGCAGTGTTAAAAAAAAAGCTAGGCGAAATGATAATACCTGCTTTACCATTAACTAAATTTTTTCAGGTTTACTTTATTAGGTATGAACGCCAGAGAAACTAATATTGTTTTTAAACAGCGTGTGAACGCGAAGTTAAAAGGGCGAGCCGTCATTAGGACACAACTTCACATTTACCCCGTTATTTCATAGTTTTCTTTCGTGTTTACTTTATTAGCTATTAACACCAGTGACATTAATGTTGTATTTAAACAGTTTATGAATGCTAAAGTAAAAGGACAGATCATCACTGTGACATTATTTCACATACTTCTTAGACACGTCCCACCACGTTTAAACGAACCCTTCTTATCTACTCTACTAAGATTTCGAAATGAGACGATTTTTAAAAATGCCTTATCTGGGACAGGCTGAGTTGAGGCATAACTTATAGAGAATAAGTATACATTTCAATTACAGATAACAGGCATTTCTGAACTAAAGTGTTGATCGATTAATCGAATGTCTAATGCGAATGCCTGGATTTAGCTGCGTACTCATAGCGATCATGTTAAACGTACAATTAGAGTATGCTGAGAAACCAAACAAATAGTATATTATAGTCTGTGAAATCGGAACTATCCTCATTATACCTCGTCGACTTCAAAGGACACCATAAAGCAAACCGAAGAATTTCTGTTAGCGTGAAGGAGCATTTTTGTATTTCGATACTACTGCTTATGAATGAAAGTTTTAGTAGGAAATAACAGAATATGATAGCACTGTAAAAATATGAACATCTCATCCACATGGATATCTCATACAACAGTGATGAACCGTGCAACTTCTCAATTATTAGGATAGCAATGAAGCTTTGCTACGGGTTTGGCATTGTCTTCTTTCGGCAATTCGAAGATTGCTGCGTACACTCATTCTTTTCCAGAGATTTTATTTGTCAAGAACTAATAATACCTCATGTTATATTGAGCACATGAACATGGGCAGCTACATGCAGACTGTCAGCAAATCATGTTTCCGACCAATACTGCTTTGATTATAATGATGGCCATATACGCATCATAGGATACTGTGATAAAATCCATCTTCTAACTTGCATTTTAGAGCATCATATTGGAAAGGCGACAGATGAAGTGCAATGGGCCGTCATTAGTTATGGTGAGCGAGTCTAGAATTATGAGTACTTTCAACAGCATCTGCTACAGAAGAAGAGTTGTAACAGCCGGAGACAAATCTTTCCTTTAGCACAATCGTGGTGTCATTTTCCAAAAATTTAATACCCGACCATATATTGACCAGAATACTTAAGCCTACATACTTTGCATGTATCGCTTTTTTCTAACCCATCCGTTCGCCAGACATATTGCTGATTGAACATATGCGGGTTATGGTCATTCAACATCTGATCCATCAAACTTCTTTTATTCTGGTGTATGAGTCCTAATTCTCGAGCATCGGAACTTTACAAAATATTGCTTTTATATTTACCATTAAACTTTTATTCCTTAACATTAAACTTTATATCTTAATATTTATATCTGAAACATTAAACTTTTATTCGTATTATCATTAATAATAAGTGGTTTAAACTATTTTCGAATCTGACGATTACGTAAAGATGCTGTAATTTTCAGAAACATGATTATATTAACATTAACTCCCAGTCTTTCCCAAATGGTCTGATTTATTCTGATTATTCTATTTTCAAAGCTTTCGGACTGGAGAAAGCCAGTTGAAGTTTAAATTCATGGGAGTAATATAGACATCTAAGCAATTTTTTCCCCACTTGAAAGCTTAGTCTATCAAAATTTACGCTATAAACACAAGCAAACACGACACATTTCTTTAGCCTGCTCAAAACCACTAGCAAAAATTAATCTTTTATCATTCATTCAACTGCTCTTAAACTTCCCTGATGACGCCGTCTGAATCTTTACAGTATTTTCACTCGTAGGCTTCTTGCTGATCTGGAAAAGTCAAAAGTTAGCTGATGCCGCATAAAAAGAATAGAAGGAAATTCAAAATGTATTGATTAGTGAGGATCTAATGTCCTTTCTAATCTCCTTTCCAAAATTTAAAAAATACATATACATTCATTAAAATTTTTTAATTAGTTTTGATACTAAAAGATGACCGGTTGAAAGACGAATAATATGCAACTTTTTGCAGAAGCAAGAAACAAAAATAGAGCGACTTTTCTTTCAGTATTAAATAGGGTAAATTATTATTTCAAATAATTGATTATCCTAAATAGCCGGATGGATAACAATTCTTTAAGCTTTGCGGACAATCACCACGTAAACGAGGCCGATGGGAACTTGTTTAAGATGACAGATGCCACTTATAACGCAGCGAAAAAAACGTCTTACGTTAAAAGACTGGAGCCGTGTATGCGCGTTTTCATTCGAAACGTTTGTGTACGTTTAGCACTTGATGTAACGTATATTTCGTTTTTTGTTCTTCAGTACATGATATATTAATTTTACTTGACATATTTCAAAATTATTTTACATCCTTTTTCTTATTTTTTAAAAGAGGAATATGACCTTATGTTTCTGAAATGTAAACATATGTTCGCCTGTCCCTTTCAAAGGGCTGTAATGTAGACTTTCTATCTGGGACAGGTGCTATTTTTTCTGGATTGTTTTATTACATTTTGACTTACGTTCCTTTGTTTCATTATTTTCTTGGAAACATTTTCCGGCTATAGTAAACAATGTAATAAATGCAGGCGAAGGATAGTAGTAATTAAAAACCCTACGCCGTTTGTAGTAAGAAGTGTAATAAACAACCAATAATAAAAGTTTAATAAATAGTGAAGATTCTCAGACATTCGAATCAGGCGACTAAGTAAAGGAAAACCTTTCAGAAATAACTTCAATAGATGAGGCTTTAACTTTTTACCTTGTATAGTGTGAGTTAAGTTTCGATACAATTTATACAGATAAATACATAGTAAAATTAATTAAATATATTTCAATTGATATAAAATGTATTAATTTTCAAAAACCATTCAATTTTAGCTATGGAGGTAAAGAAAATTTATGCTTATACTAATGAATAAGAGTATTTAAATCCTAAATAAAGGAAACAACTGTTTCTTTACGGATTTCTATAAATTTGGCTTTGCGACAAAATTTCGGTGTCCTGTAGAGTGAAATCATTTGTGGCAGTCGCCGTCTCCACAATTACTTAAAAGAAAATTCCTTTCTCGTCCACAAAGGGTTAAGGAAAATGCATTAACCAATATAACTGCTATTTTACTAACCTACGAAAGAAACATCTTAACCTTTTCAGTGGTACTTTTTTATTTCCGTGTAATCAAATGGTGTTTTAGACCTCCCTTGTAGCAATTCTACTTTTCATTTTCTTATAGGCTGTTCACATTCAGTCGAATAACAGGGATTATTGCAGGTACGTTTTACGAATAAGATTTTAATTCATATTAATTTTATAACTATACAATTATTATTGTTATCGTGCACTTATAGATATTAATCATTAGGTAGTAATGTTGTGAAATGAAATATTAACTTACCTCTAAAAGGCAATATTAATTCTTCTAAACTACTAGGATGACCTCGCTCTTGCGAAAGATGGTGCTTTACGATTTCCTGAAGAGTTTCTTTTCCAACTGTGCGAATCCAAACGCAGATATTAGTGGCTACAACATGCATCAGTCCAAACCGTGCAAGGACTTTGAATTTGTGAATATTTAACTGAAACAAAAGGATAATTTGTATTAATAAATAAGAGTAGTTTGATGAAAAAATTTTAGCTGTCCCTGCATAAATTAAAAACAAAAAGGCCTTGGAAATGTCTAAATTGTACATATTAAAATACAGAATTAAGCAAATTTCTTTAGATATAAATAAAAAAGATTTACAGAGTGAAATTTTAATAATATGTCAAGCTCTGCATCAACATTTATTTATGTGAATCTGAATATCTTATATGTAAATTCTTACATGAGACCAAATTTTCAAGAGTCAAATTTTCAGGAAAATATAATGTTGGGCTACATAATTTCAAATATAATGACATATGAAACTTTACTATACACAGTGCATTAATCTATGAATCACCAACTTCATTCATGTGAAAGGCCGAAAATCTTTTGTCAAATAATATAGTCTTTTTAAGTCATAGTATTCCAAGTTACAATGGCAAATCAATTTTATGCACCATTATTTCAATCAACAGTTTTTATAACCTGCCGCCAACTGAGACACTTCGATAAAGGGAATGACTTCGCCAAATTAATAATAATTATGATATGTAAATAAATAAAAAAGCGAAGCACATTATTTAAAGTGGTTTTATTGCATAATAGTGATTACTTTCTAAATGTGTTTAGACACGTTATTCTATTAAAAAGCACAATATTCTAATGTCACATAAAAAAATGTTGGAAAAATTTTTCGTTAAAATTTACTTCGTAACTCTCATATATCATGTTGTATATCTATATGAACAGTTTACATGGTAGTATGTAAAGTGTTATGTACCTGTACGTAAAGTTCAACTGAAAGTTCTTTCCGTATAAGAGGTTAAAAAAAATTGGGGTATTCTGTGATGCGAGTTCAGTTCTAATCTTAATATTTGTTCATACTATGTAACGGGCTATGTTAAAATGCATTTTCATTACCGACCCGACTATATGTATTTGGCGTGGTAGTGGAAAACGCTTCTGTTTATTCGTTAAGACGACTATTCCAAAACTGATGAATAATCGAGATTCCATTGTAGACTACTTGCTCTGAAAGATTAGAAAGCCGTTATTGAAATTAAAAAAAAAAAAAAAAAAAAAAAAAAAAAGAACCTGTTGCGTTTCTGTAGAGATTTAGGAAAGTTTATGAATTAAATTTAATACTGCCTAGTTGTTTTCTCTCTACATCTTGGAAACTAACCGTCTATGAAAAATAATTTTAAAATATATACAAATTCTATAATACTTAAAACTACCTAATTACTAATTGCTGATAACAGTTTAAACATGTTCTTTCCAAAATATTATTTTCCCTGTAATATGTAACAACTCAGTCTCTCACGCTTCTACTTTCCTGCCCCAACGGCAGAGCGGTATGGGGTTCGAATTTCGGCGAACGGGCTAGCTACATGGTCGTTTTAGTAGTTTACCCATGTGTAACGTTTATATGAGCCAGTTTCCCATAGAGCGTTCTCTACGAAGGCATCCTTCCCCTTAGACAGATAGCTCTCGAGTGCTTTGCCATAATTAAGTAAACCAGTTACCATTCTGCTTTTCAAAGGGGAAAAATTTCAGTTTTGGGTAGCTGACATTACTTTTGAAAGTAAAAACATATGCTGCACTTCATTCACCATATTATAGTTACAGAGCTATTATGTGGCTGTAGTATTGCAGTGTAGCTGTATCAGTAGAATTCTGATGTATGCTCTACATATCATCTTAGTACGATCAAAATAATATGCAAAAAGTATGATGGTTATCAAATTTGAAATATTTTTGGGAATTGTATTATCTGTTCATTTATTTAATGCCCTAGTCAAAAAAGTATAGTTATTTTAGTGATGTGTATAGCTTTCTTATATTGTAGAGCCATCAGTACTTTTTTGAAGCAGGAGAGGTGAAAAATGCGCAACGCCTTCGCCAAGATTCAAACCTAGATCTTTCGCATACGCGTCAAGTGCGCTACCGTTATACCACGAGGGCATACTGGAAGGAAGAAGAAAACACGTTATACTGCATTATTATTCGCGAAATTTTAAGTACATCTGGCGATAATATGTATGAAAATTAGCGATTTCTGTCATTTCCGTAACTTATATCGCTAATATGAAGTAAAATCAGAACTGAAGAATATATTCAAGTAGATAAAAGGCTGCATGATTTGTTTTTAAGGGGCTTCGGCAAGGCATGCTTTTAAAGCATAAAGTTGAAAGCAGAAAGTAAGCGTAAGTCTTTTAATATTTGAATGAGAACAAAATGCAAGGATTCAAATTTCTTTTGAAAAGGTTTCAACTGTGACTGATATACAAGTAAAGCTAAAGGAAGTCTCATTATATCTTCCGAGCAGATTTTCAATATTTATTCACATTTTGATTTGAAAAACTCTCAGATGTGATTCGATATCTTTTAGGCTAGAAGTTATGAAACTTAGGTTTCAGATTACCCTCTCAGAGTTAAAAGCTGAAAGGAAGTTTTTCGTATGAAAAACAATAATGGTTTTTATCTATGTACATAAGTGTTTGTAAGTTAAAGAGAACTGCGGCAAATTTTGGGTAAACAAAATAGCTTTTAAGTTATCAACTGACAATTAACCTATTTTCTAGAATAATAATCTTTGATTAATTCCTGTTTGTCTTACTAGTTGCTATTCATTTGACTAGCTGTGTAAACAAAGACTTATATGATAAACATTTATCGCAACCATAGTAATCACATGAATTCATGTGTAGTACTAAAAAAGACATTAAATAATACACACAATGTACTTATTATTGTTCAAGCCTAGATAATGCATTGTTACACTACGAGGCAAACTGCTTATACATTTTAGATAACAATAATGTGTAAAGACCAAATTTAAACTTTTTAGTTCTTCAGATTCTAAGGTTGTTTTATTTAATATTCTTTATTATAACATTAAAATTATATTTAAAAACATAATATACTAAATTTAAAATTTATATTACAATCAAACATTGGCTAACATGTATATGAAACATACTGTTTTGAATTGAAGTGAATTGAAGTTGGGGTAGAGTGACGTCAGCTTCTAGAATGTATGAAAATCAGAGTTAGTTTAGTTTTGAAACGAGAACGAATGTTTTGGTTTTGTGTCTGTCCTTGTATGTGTTTTCATATATTTCAATACAATGTTTACGGAATGACTTTTGTCTTCCTGGATTTTCCAAGCACCTGACAGCGGGTAGATGCGAACCCATAAATTAAATTTCGGCTTTTCGTTCTCAACACTTTGTTTAAAGTGCTCAAAGATGATGTTTACATTAATTAATTCACGGTGTATGCTAAAAGATGAATTTTAAGCTATTCAGAATGATAATAAAACTAATCGGATCTAAATAGTTATGTATTATTAAATTTAAGTTGATGCAGATGGCGCTGCTTCTTTAGTCTATCACGTAACTGTTCGTACTTTGGCGACGGAAGCAGATAATTTTTTCCCGCTGTTATTCGTTACGTATTTTTTTTTTCTTTTTTTTTTTTTTAAGAATAAAAAAAAAGAGTTTTATGCAGCCCACTGCTTGATAGTATTATTTTGCATCAAAATCTACAAATTTTCAACCATTTTATGTGAGAGCAATTGTAAAGAAATTCGAACGAATGTATGAGAACAATTAATTGTGTTAAAATCACCTTCAAGCATGGAACGTGACAGTTGACATGAAAAGTTATGAATCTATAAAATACTATCATAAAGCAGTTGCAAAATTTATAAGTATAAAATATGATTATTTTTTGTGCAATGAGAGCATTGTCTAATTATTATGAGGATATAATAGAAGCACATTTTTGTTAATATTAAAGAGAAATAAAATGATCCTTAATCAATTCTCCTTAACCCTTTCCGGCTCGCTACCTTTCAAAGTAGGAGTTTTGAAAAAAAAAAAAAAAAAAAGGTAGGCAGTCTAATTAGGCCTAGAAGAGTACACAAATAAAATTTTGTGAAGATAGCACTTATCGTTTAATTCTGTGGGTATGCCCAAATTGGCACATTGATTGAATAGAGCTTCGAAAAAAGTGCTGAAACGAGGATTGCTGTCAATGAACTAATCAATGAGATGCGTAGAAACAAATAATTACAGACTCCAGTTGTCCTAGATTATCGATGAGCCCGGCGGCACACCTCGAATTCCCGTTTGATTTAGGGATTCGGAAAATTTAAAACTAACATAGATAAGGCGTTAGCCTAACCCCAAAAACAACAGAGTCTTTCAACATCCTTTTAACCTAAAAGAAATCTGAAGATTTCTGAAATGGGGATCAAAAATAAAGATGCAAAATATATGGCTGGTTGTGTTGACTGCCATTCAATATAATAAGAAGGCAAGACCTATAATCCTTTTTCATTAAATTTTTCTGTGCGTACAGAAGGAAATTTTTAGGTGGACACACTGTGCCGCGAAAGGTTAAATTAACTAAACGTAAAATATATACTATAACGTATATAGTATGAAAAAATTCATGTACTGGTAAACTGATAAACTGATTTTTATACTGATAAACTTACCCTAGCATTAGCAAAAATGAAATACATCTGTGCGAACGTAAACATCATCTGTAGCACAGGATTGATGCCTAAGAGAATACTATAGCATGGCGAAGAAGATGGTATTTCAAAAAATGATCCAAACTCCAAGCCATTGTATACCATAGTACCGAGTCCAAAGGCTGAAATGAAAGCAGATATAAGCAATATTGTCTTAAATTTATATTCTAGTATGTATATATATAAACTTAAAGCATCTAAATTTATTATTAAATTGGAATAAAAGCAAGCTAAAATCTATCAAAGCAATTTCTCTCTCTCTCTATATATATATATACACATATATATATAGGCTTTAACAATGTACTTTTAACGCTTACTAAAATTTTTAATATTTTTAACTTCTTTGAATATTCGATCACCTTAAATGAAGTTAGATTACGTTATTATACTTATTAACAGAGTACTCGATGGCTATTCGCTTAAAGCAAGAGATGCTTTCGTGAATGACATTGCATACTATTTACTTTGTCGATAACTACTATAGGAATTTAATTTGTATTTTCGTTACATATTAGAAGAACATGTATTCATGAAATTATATAAGCAATAACAGACATGAAACTGTAACAGTTAGCAGATCGATTAAGTTATGTTACATGTTCGATTCTGGCCATCAACACTTCATCTGGCAATTCGTCCCCAACTTCATTGATCAAATGAAAGCCATCTTCTTCCTCTAGGAGCTCTTTAAGCGGGGGGAAAGGAAAAAATTAAAAGCATTTCCCCTAATTGCTACTAAAGTTAACTTATTTTATTATTACGACATGAGCACTCGATGGGTATTCGATTAGAGCAAGGGATGTCTTCGCGTATATCTTTCTACATGAAATTAGTTTGTATTTACATTACACATGAAAATACTTCGAAGACACATACAGTCATCGAATTCTATAAGAAACAACAGAAATGGAGTTCTTTTTAGAGCAGTGATTTTGAGTGAGCTGAGCTGCGCCTCTGAGTAGTTTTTTCGGAAATCCTGTGTTCAGTTCTACGGAAGAGTATGGGGAACTTTTCAAGTCTTCTTCCACCTGAACTGTTGTGGTCTTTATATATATATGAGCAAAAATATTGCGGCGAGATAAGCTAAAATATTCTCTATGCTCTAACGTAAATTCAAATAACCAGTCCAAGGTGCTAATCATTGCACTACAAAACAGAAGGGAAGAAGTCTTTCCACTTCTTACAAAGTCATTATTTAAGCCTACAGGAAATACACTGATGTCTTAAATTTTCAGGTCTTAACTCTGAAATTATTCCTACTCATTATTATAAACTATTGTGAACAGAGTAAAATATTTCTTTTTTAATATTTACAACGGCATCTTTCATAAGAATATGATTCGCTGAAAAATACATTATAAAGCCGAAGATTTCTGTTTATGCATATCATATTATTGTGAATGGTCGAATGACGAGTGTCAGATGATACTTACGAAAAATTAAAAAAAATTAAAATTAAAAAAAATAAAAATAAAAAAAAATAAAAATAAAACAAAATGATTATAAATTAAACTCAAATGAATATTTTTTAAATTCTTCATAAAGCATTATCATCAGTCGATAGGTAGAGGCAGAAGTACTAGCACGAAGGACGTCAGCTGCATACCATTGATTATCAAGTTTATTCCTGTGTAGGACAAACCCCAGTGGTTATTTTGGGAGTTTATCGTTTTCGTGTTCATTAAATCCAATAGGGAAATAGTGGATTCGGATGCTTGTTTCTGTACCTGCTATTACGTACAGATTTTGTAGGATTAGTAAAATTCATATGTCTCTTCCTAGAGCAATAATTTTTCTCATAATGGCTAGATTTTCTTCCTGTGAATCAAGTACAAGGGAGGCGGTCCACCATAATTTCACCTATAGTCGTACAGGTGTACACCTATAGTCTAGTACATGTGTACACCTATAGTCTAGTACAGGTGTACACCTATAGTCGTACGGGTGTACACCTATAGTCGTACAGTTACTTCCGCCTCACTAACTGTTATGCTACGTTCCATTTTTGATGGAGAACACCCCAGGGGACGGTCCGAGAGTCTCCCACCGCTCTTCTATATCACCAACCACTCGACAGGGTTTTCGACTCTCCGTGTATTTTGAGTGCTTTATGTCTCAAAGACATTATAAACTTACAAATATCCACACCTTTCCGCGGATTCAAAACCGAGCCCAACGGTACAGCAGCCAGGAGAACTAATTACTACATTGATCAGGGTGGCCGTCTTGTGGAATAACTAACTTATTCTAATCAAGCTAAACTACTTTTCTAAAAATGACTTTATCAAAGGCGGATTTTTTTATCTTACAGGTACATATTTGGTCTTTTTTCTTTTCTGTTTTATTATTTTATTTTTTCATTATGCTTAGACTTCAAGTGAAGAAATTTGCAGTCTTAATCGAATGTTTTAATTATTTCATGGGAAATTTATTATTGTATACCAAAAGCGTACATATGTAAAACCCTCAAATACAGAAAAATGCCACTAGATTATTTTGGCCTTAGGTTTTGATTGCTAAACTTCCTCTTAATAGGAAAATTTTAATTATTATAGATACGCTGTTATTCTATTCAATATTGTTCACTTGTGACCTTTAAAAGAAAAATCAAATGGCTAAAATGTTATTATATTTGAAACCGTTTTACAGTACATTCAGTGGTGGATTTATGAAGTGTGTGTGGGGGGGGGATTCATCTTACATGAAATGTTGAGGAAATATCTTTTTATGTATACGTTTGCTATTTTTTAGCGCTTTTATAATAGGTTTCTTTGAAATTGGAAAATGAATTTGGGGTCTCTTGGAGTATGGGGGATCATTGCGTGACTTGCTGACCCCATAAATCCACCTCTGACTATAGTTTGATAAAAGCATCTGACAACAAAAGTAATGAAAAAAGTCTTTCAGGTTTTGCTAAACTATACGCTTGAAAGTAAGCAAAACGCTCTACTACTTGTATTTAATTTTGTATTGTTTGCTTATTTGCAGGAGCTTTATAGATAAACAGTTTGCTAAACAAGAAGATTCATTGATAATTTAGTTGATATCTAATATGTCGTGTTCTTAATGATGTACAACAGATAATCACATGACACTTTCCTTACCAATGGCTCCGATTCTGAGGAAAAGGCTACCATGGCTTCGATCATTTTCAGATATTCGGTGCTTTTTCACTCGTTGCAAGTGTGGATTGGCAGGCGTTGTGAGATTTGGATCAGAGATCTCCTTTTTAAGTCCCTTGTCCCCAATTCGGAGCTTAAGGCCTTCAATTATGTTGAGTTTCCTAGCAGGCTTTGTTGTAGGTTCTCTCAATAAGTATGTATATACATAAAGAAGAAACAGAAGGCTCACTGAATACAGGAACACATAGAAACCCTAGATGAAAATCAGGATGCATTTATTTATTTGTAAGAGAAGATAAAAAAGCATATTTAAAAATTTGAAAGATATGTAGCACTTTAGTGTATTATCAGAACAGACGAATTTATGATTAAAAATGTACTTTAAACAAATGCTTAATGGGTTTACTTACTGTTTTGAAAGAATTTAACATTCTAATACTAATGCTAAATATTGAACTAGAGAAACGTGTCTAGATATTGAACTAGAGAAACGTGTCTAGATATTGAACTAGAGAAACGATAAATATTGAACTAGAGAATATTATCGTTTATAGAAAACATATTATCATTCAAAAGTTTGTGTTTACACATGAAATTTATTTTTGCTAATAGTCTTTTAATTGAAATCTGCTTTGTCACAGCCTATTTTCTTCTTATGTTTGAATTCTCCAGAAGGCGGAAGTTACGTAAGTTAGGTAAATAAAGCTAATGACATAAGGAACATCGCATTTCACTGGCTTGATGTGTAGTTGGATGCATTAAAATGCGGAGCAGTCTAAGAAAAAATTTCCACTGTTAAGTATTTTGCTCAGAATGCAGGCTTGACTATAACGAATAATTGCATTTATTTATTAAATAAAGGGGATAATTTAATTCAGGGAAAAAGATTTCCTGTAATTTAAATCTGTCTAAAAAGTTACAGAAGATTTTGTTCTGCAGAGAATCCTGTTATGAGCTCTAACTTAAGTTCCGATTAGACTATAAGTAACAACGCTTAATATTATCTAGAAAGATAATAAATTTATTTGATTTTACCTTGCTAGCTTTTGTTCATTTGAGTAATTATTTTGTGTTTTCTTTGGTAACTAGCTTGCATTCACTTTTGTAATTAGTGCGTGATAATTTTGTCTATAATGGCTAATTGAAATTCGCTGTGTTAACTCATTCGATGCATTGGCTATCTGTTACTTAAGCAAATAGAAGGTAGTAAAGTAATTGGACCTTATTTCAAACATAACTAAAATCTTTTACAAACAGTATGACGTTATGAAACTAGTTTATAAAGAAGCAGGTGATTCATAGATTTCCAAATTAAAATCCTTGTTTTCTCTATAATTTTACCGCTTTAAGGGATTTTATTTCTTTTTATTAGAGTGTCATTTCAGAATAAGTTTTAACTCATTTCCTAGAAGTTAAAAAAAAGTTACACAGATATCATGATAATTTCTAAATCATTTGAACTATTGTTTAATTTTTAAAACTAACGGTAATAAATTCTTTTAGTTTATAGGATAACAATCCTAACATAAAATAAGTGTCATTACCATCATTATTATTTTTACACTTAGGTTAATTTTTTTTTAATTTTCCGAAACAGAAAAATCAATTAAACATTTTACGTAACTTCACGAAGGTTATTTCAGAATTTGTGCATTGTTAGTTGCCTTCTGCAAAATGGTTCAGTCACTGATGAAGGATAAGCAGATTATTGGAATAATTTCTCTCAAAGTTTCTCAGCGGGGATTCCTCGGAACCCTCGTACTCCACGAGAAACAATGACGAATAGGCTAATAAATGGTAATGATAAGTATGATTGTTATATAAGGATTACCTGAAACAATAATTTTTTTCCAGCGGTTGTTCAAGGGTAAAAAGCCAAAGAAACGCTGAACTAGGTAATATGGCGCTTGATATTGGCCAAAAATAAAACGCGACACATCAGTTGTACTTAAAAAAGAGAAGAAAAACTATTATTGACAACAAGAATCATTATGGTGATGGTGGTGTTTTACTCTTTCGGTTTCGCTTAGCTCATGAAACATTAAACTTTCTTACTCATCTGTAATACTTAAATGCTATTAAAAATTTAAATGTGGTTTATCAGTAGCCAACATCTAATTAGTATGGGAAAGAAATCGTTCTATTTCAAATACAGATTCGAATTTATAATATTTGTACAATCTGCAAAGCTTTATTGAAATAGATAATCTTACCTCAAAATAGAAGAGTGGCACCCTGGGGGTTACAATCTCTGACGTAAAAAAGACCACACATATGACTACCAGCAATTGAGCATAAATAGAGCTCATCAGGATAAACTGCTGAGTCCTGTAAGGGAAAAAATTATGTTGAAATTAATTACATAATCATTTATATAAGAAGTAAAATTTTAAGCTCATCAAAATATCACAAGTTTAGCATTTAGTTTCTTTTAAATTCATGCATTCAAGAAAATATTATTCAACTTTTGTTTGTGATGCTACTTAGGATCTTGTGAATTATTCTTCTACTTCTAGAAAACTGTGCCTTCTTTACACGAAAATTTATTAACAGCTGTTTAACAGGTAATATTTTAAAATATTTCATAACAGGTAATATTTAAAAAATCTCTAAATTGGCCATATATAACATGAAATAGGCTTAACTTTGAGTTAATGACATAGTCAAAAACTGATGTTTTTTTTAATATTAAATATTTAAAAAGAAAGTACAATAGGTATAAAAGTTTTCAGCTAATTCATCACCCTAAATTATCCTAATGATAGAAACAATGAACTAAATAAAAGCTCGCTATTACATGGCGAGTAAACAATTATCCTGCACAAGGTTCGTATTACATGGCATTAGAAACATATTTTGTCAGTTACAATGCTCGCAAAATTTCTTGTGAAAATTTTTGATTAGATATATTCTTCTTGTGAATTATAATTACATTACCTAATGTCATTAAGAAATAAAAACATAAATTATTAGAAAGTGCGCACATTGTCATTGAAACGCACCATTAGTTAAGTAATGTATCATTATAAACTGGAAAAGTCAAAAATATTATGCTCATCAAATAGCAAACACCTCTTAAAACTGCTAATTTGCCAGGCTGCATGGATGTTAGATCCGATGCTTCGTAAACTGAAAGCACTTAACATGACGCTGGGATGATAAGCGTCCTGGTAGCGAAACATATTGTAATGGAGAGAGGAAAATGAGCTAAAGACGTTTCTAATTACAAAACTTCTGGGCAGGTTCTGAAGCTCAGGCCATATATATATATACTTTATGGTGAGTGTGAAAAAACAATATAAAGTATTTTCTTTTTAAACTTTTAATTCTAATTTTGAAAGCATATTATTTGCAGAAAATTTTAGATCTTTCAACATACAAACTTCTTTCAAATAAATAAGGCTTAGTTGCAATTGAAACTTAAAAAAGAAAAAAATACACAATATTTCATAATCCTCACACCACCAAGAATGCATTCATTTCCTCCTCTTTTTTAATGATGTTCTTTAAAACAAGCCCTACTGAGCTTCTCCGGAAAAATTATTGCAATTAAAGCAAATTTTCACAATCATTTTACATCACAAATTTGTTAATAAAGATTAAAACCGCACTTACGATATTATTTCAGGAACCATTAATTTATTTAAAATGACTACACGCTGAATTCTTTTATTATATGCGTGTTCTAATAATATAGCAACTTATGTCCTGTGATTTAATTCTTACGAAAGCGGTCTTGAAGTGAAGCGAAAGATGAATTAAATTGTGGTCGCAGTTCAAAAATTTTCAGTCAGATGTTTACAAAAAATGGAATAAAAATATGCCGTTAGGTAATGATATACTGAGAACGTAATTAAACATTTACTTCACTGTTAAGCAATTGGTATTTTATTAGCAAAATAAATTTTAAATTATTAGTGGCTTCATATTTCAATATTCGTTACAAATTAGTATGCAAATAAACTATTGACTGATGTTATTTCTGACTGAATGTAAAATAATTTTTATCATAATTCCAAAGTATAATTTAATGGTAATTTACGGGCTACAGGTCTCAAACACAGTTAATGCGTTAACATTTAAAAACCGATAGATTACTTTGGAAGCTATGTTCATAAATCATGAACAAAATATAGAGCATCTTAGAACTATTTCTTATGTGACACTAAAACATACACATTTAATAAAACACTCGTATAATTTCTAACAGTGTTAGATTTATGATACAAATCAGACAAAAATGGGGGAAAGAGAATGGCATTTATTTGCAGCTGTTATAAATTTTTTGGCTTCAACTGACATTAATGTAAGTGAAATAATAGATTTAAGTATACATGACATAAAATATAAAAGAAATAATGGATTTAAAGAAATCTGTTTAGAGGGAAGATGTCACTCTCTTTTATTAGTTTTCAAGCCTTTTTTTTTTTTTTTCCTTTTCAAACGAAAGTCATTTAATTGCTTGAAAGACTTCTTTTTCTGGAGTGTTTCAAGCAATTAAGTGACTTTTGCTTCCCGAATGAAGCTTTGTAGGACAATTACTAAAGTAACAAATAGTTTTCTTCTTTGCATAGATTCACACTGTTGACCTCTAACACGAGGAAATACTATTTAATTAAATTACTTGCTACTGTTTGGTTCAGGTACTTTATTTATTTTGTTTCATATAAAAAATAAGAAGTATCATGAAATAAAAATTCAGTTCATTTCAGTAATTGACTGCCATTTTAAAAATAACTTTTGTGGTCGTTAAAGTGTAAACTTTTCCCAGTAATTTTACGCAATATGGTTTAACAAGTGAAATTTGGTAAGATAATCAAACTTATTTTTCAGGCGAATTGTGGAAATCGGCGAAAATTGTGAATGCGTGCAAGACAAAAATCAGGCAAATAACAAATAATGTAAATAATAGTTGTCTAAAATCAACACTACAAAAAAAATGAAAAAAGAAGCAATGATATTCCCTGCTTTTAAACGAAAACTGTTGAAGTTATAAATGATTTATACAATAACAGAATTTTATGCCTTTCATATTGTATTTTGAAAAATAACAAATTATATTTACACTCATGTCCATAAATTAAGGATAATTCGGAGTCACGCGGAAATCGAACTCTAAAATAAATATATCACCTGTAAAATCACTACACACATCTTCAAGAATCATATGCAAATTTCAGCAAGTTACCAGATGACACCGATGGTACGTCACAATGACGAGAGTGTAAGACAGTGATATGTAAGAATACAGGCAAAGAAGAAGTAAAATTGTTAGCACGCGCTTTATAAGCATTTCAGTGCAATAACCGAATAGTTATGACACAAAGGACGCATCTGGATGATTTTTTACGTGGTAGAATTATCGGCCGTCTGGAATGTGGGCGTACCCAACTGGAAGTATCAGACGAACTTGGAATAGCCCAGAGTGTCATCTCTAGGCTTTGGAACCGATTCCAAGATGATGGTAATGTGAGTAGACGCTATAGCACAGGTCGCCCCAGAGTTACAATGCCGAATGAGGACCGGTATTTCGCAGTTACTGCCAAAAGAAACAGGCGGAGCACAGCCTCAGACCTGTCTCGTCAGCTCTGTTCAGCCACTGGTACGACAATTTCAAGGCAGACCGTGTACAGACGCTTAAGGCAGATTGGTCTATATGCTTGTAGACCTGTCAGATGCGTTTCACTTGCTGCAACTCACTGCCGCCTGCGGTTAGCCGGGAGTAGAGAGCATGCATTGTGGACATCGCAACAGTGAGCTTGTGTGATGTTTTCCGACGAGTCCAGGTTTAGCTTGCAGTCTGATTCTCGCCGGACTTTCATATGGAGAGTTCCAGGTACCCGTTACCACCAAGAAAACATCATTGAACGACACCGTCACGGTGGTGCAGGAGTGCTCGTTTGGGGTGGAATTATTCTGGGTTCCAGAACTGACCTGCATGTTCAAATTGGAACCATGACCAGCCAAATCTATCGGGACGTCATTCTGGAACAACAGTTCTGGAACAACAGTTACGTTTGTTTCGGGGCGCCATGGGCGCACAATTTGTGTTTATGGATGACAACGCCCGTCCTCACCGTGCAAACATCTTAAGCGAATGCCTTCAGTCGGAGGATATCACCCGTACGGACAGGCCAGCATTCTCACCGGACTTGAATCCAGTAGAGCACGTGTGGGACATGCTTGGCCGACGAGTTGCAGCCCGTCAACCTCCTCCTACATGTCTACCGGAACTTCGGAGAGCATTGCTTTTTGAGTGGTGTAATATCCCTCAAGATCAGACCTATAATTTGATACTCAGCATGCCTAGGCGTTGTACGGACTGTGTTGCATCGTCTGGAAGACATAAAATGTATTAACAATCATACCAACTATGTAATAGTGGTTTTTTGTAATTTTTTTTTTTTTTTTAATTTTGTAATTTGCTCCAGGGAGAAAAAATCGCTAATTTTTTTAATAATATCAAACATATAGCATCTTTATTTGCTCTTTACCTTTTGTTTAATAAATAAACTTTACAAATAAGTCAAATTTGTTTTGCTTCTAACTCTTTCTTTGCCTGATTTTGCATTATCCTTAATTTATGGACATGAGTGCATTTTTCTAAAAATAGAGTGCCAAATTATGGATTGATGCATCAAAGAAAAGTTATTAAAACTCTTAGTCTATGAGCATTATATTAAAAAAATATAGTAAAAATTATTTAGTTTATCCGTTAGATTAAATTTTCATTGCTTAGAATACTTATTCATTTCTCAGAAATTAGAGACAATTGCCGAATTTAAACGTAAGCATTCAAGTTGAAATGCAGTTCAAGTTTTAAAACTGATTCCTGGGCATTTTGTTATTTAATATCTCTTAGGATTGATTGTGCACATAACCAATAAATGCATTGTATCGGAAGCTATTTCCTGCTTGAGTATTGCATAAAAATTACTCCTTGAAAGTAAAATCAGCCTCAGCATCTGTTATGTAAAGGACATTCTACGGATGAGTTTTCATTAAGAAGCTGTTTGCTACTTATAATTTAGTACTGCATAAAAATTAATATCAGTACTTTTAATAAAAAAACATTTGACTCATGAGGTTTTAGTAGGTAGTTATTTGGTGCTCAGAAATGAGTGTTGCATAAAAAATTGCTGGTTGGAAGGAAAATCGGTCTCAACAATTTTTACGTAAACAAATTTCACACATGTGTTTTCAGCAAAGTCCTTCAATATTTTTTTAAATAAACAAAACAATTAAGTATATTAGCTCAATTGTTTTAATTTACCGAAAATTGGTTTTTTTATATAAATTCAATACATAATGGTTAACGTTTTTAGCTC